AATTATGATTTTTTAGAGCCTAAATCTTAAAATTCTAAACACTAAAAAATCTTTTGACCCCTAAAACCCTCAAAACTAAACCCTAATACAACATAGTTAACCCATACATAAATGATATAATGAATAAATAATTTTGAAAAAGTGGCATTTTTGTAAAGTGGCACTTGAAAAGTGACATTTTTTGAAATTTCTCTAAATAAATAGACATATTACTAGAAAATATTTTCTGTATTATTATTTGATCAAATGTTCTATTTTTATTAATAAAAATTATTTTACTTACAACATGTTTCATAAATAATATGTTATATATAGTTTAACTAAAATAAAGTGTGTGGATCATTTCACCAATTCACCCCAAACTATACCAAATTTGAAAACCAATCTTTTGGAAATTACATTTTACAAGTTTTGGTAAAATTAAGGTTAAGGAACGATTTCAAAACTGAAATCTAATTTTGTATAGCCTCTAAAATGAAATTTAAATCAAAATTTACTAAAATCCAAAGACTAAGCAAACATATATGTGGAGAAAATAGTTTTGAATTTCCGAAAAAAATATCAATATAGTGTCACAACAAAAAAACACAAGAATAAAAACCCAACAATTTAGGGTTTAAATTTTAAAAGAGTTTTTTCATCGACAATTTTTGGAAATCATTGCAAAAACCTTAACCTTATTGTAGGGGTCAAAATCCATCATTTGAGCATCACTGGCTGAAATTGGCTAATTATATAGGAATGAAGATCTACAACAAGATACACAGGTTTCACGAAACCTGCGACTCTCATGAATCCCACGGCCAGACAAACGGATCGGGTTTAACAAAACCCATGACAAACAAGACATAACGGATAACCCGACCTGTGGCTAACCGAATTCGGAGCGTTGATCCGATCTACGAGATATCATCCTCGAAGAAAAGGAGCGGGCTGAGCCGACGATTGGTGGGCCAAACCGACTGTTAGTGGACCGAGCCGAAGATTGAAGTCCATAATGCATAGCCGACTCCACGGGGAGGGAATCTCGAAGGATAAGGAAGCTTTTCTTATCTATTTAGCAGTTGCCCTAGCTGCGGAATTTCTCTATATATCATTGTAAAGCCTCTATAAAGGGGATCCGAAGTTTTTACTTAACAAAACTCTTGTAACAAAGCTTGACGAAACAACAATAAGAGAACCTATCATTTTTTTCTCATCTTTGCTTTCCGTGATTCGTACCTAGAAATCTCTTAGGAATAACCCTCAATAATTTCAATTGTTAGAGTTTCAACTCTCACAATTTGGCACCGTCTGAAGAGACAAAGATTTTCTGACACGAAGGAATCACCATGCAAACGATCAGTACAAGATCACCAACGGCGACGAATTTCACAACCCCAAGAGCCGACCAAGCTGGAGAGAAGGTAACCGGTGTCGGTAACACTGGAGTCAATCCAACGAATACTACAGTAACCCAAACTGCCAGAGCGAACGAAACGATGCCATAATTCCTTAATCAGATGAAGACGATGCTAGAGACTCTGCTCAAGAAATTAACGGAGCAGGAGAAGCTAAACACAACAGTAACCGACAAGTTGCGGGTCAACGGCAAGCCGAACCCATGCAAGGGGCGGGTTTATCACCCTAGATGGGTCGGGTTTCACAAAACTGCGGCACGACAGACGAGTTTTGCAAAAACCCGCGATCAGACAAGGCAAGTCGGGCTTCACGAAACCTGCGGCAAGACAGACGGATCTCACAAAATCCATGACCAGACAAGGCGGGTCGGGTTTCTTGAACCCCGTGACCAAACAAGACGAGTAGGGTTTCTAGAAACCCACCACAACAAGACATATCGGACAACCCAACCAGCGACTAACTGACTCTGGAGGTTACACTATCAACGGCGAGCCAAACCCATGGGAGGGAAGTATACCTAAATAGGGGATCTGTATGACGCCTCAATCCGATGGCCCTAAACTTATCAACACCAATCGGTGCACTTAAGATCCACCCTATCTCGAGTACTGCCAAGCCAAATGCGACGATGAATGCCAGCCAAACGCGACGACTAATGCTCCTACTGCAGAAAAATCGGTGCCGGTAATAAATCTGGAAGAAAACCCACAAGGAGAGTGTAACGCCCCCGATCACTTATAGACCGGAAACGCTACTGATGTGCGCTTAGTCATTCATTCCGAGGTTCCAAAAACACATCTTGGAAACCTAGATTAAATGTCCAACCGCACATTTCCTACTGAACATGGCTCTAGGCTTTTCAACCCGAGTCACATCCACTAGTTGGTTNGTCCCGGACTAGGACTAGTATCATATGCAACACAAGGTTTAAACA